CCGTGTATAATATTTCTCCAAAAAACGTAAAAATTTGTAACTAGACCAAAAAATATTAAACACGCATTTTTTTTTTTGATAATTCAAGAAAAATCCAGCCGGGACATCTGAAAATGTATACAGTCGGCGCAGGAGTCTCCTGTCCCGGTTATACAATTTTTACGGTTGGGGTAGGAGGGAAATTGAGTTGGGTCCAAATTAAAAAATCATCTCCCTTAAACCCCCAAAAGCGCCCCGTCCCGAATTAATAATAATTTGTAATTACGACTAATCTATCAAGCGCACGGTTGTATTTTCCAGGGCGGCTTTGTGATAGCTTTATCAAAGATGTCCCACCCTCTGACAATCTCAATTAATGATTTATCAAGGTGAGGGATTTTAGACCCATTTGATCCTTCAATTAAGTTTTGTAAATCAGCATAAATGAGAACCATTGTAAATGGGTGTTGTGTGAGTTAAATGAGATTGAAAATTCAAATTTAATTGTTTCATAAAATTTTCACTGAATATACCCGCTTTTGAGGATACAGCGGCTTTCAGAATTAATGTACATTAAGAAATATTTATTATTCTCTTTTTCTTCGTTGTCTTTCTCTAATTTGCCAAGAGTGCGTTTAAATAAAAACGTGAAATCAAGGGTAAATGATTTTTAGTTACGACGCAAGTCATTTTGTCCGCAAGTCGTTTGGGAAATGATATAAAGTCATAAAACAACTTCATATTCATTATAATTGCATTGTTTTTACAAGGTTTATAACGCAAAGATGCTAATTTTGTCCTTTGTTTTTTTATTACACATTCTTATGGGTGTTTTGCGTGTTACCTGGAAATAGGAAAAGTGGAAAGGATGTAGCAAAGTAAGTCGACTTGATGGCCAATAGCTTCTTATATTTCAATTTGCTTTTCTTTTTTTTGTCCGCATGACAATATAACCAGCGTTAAAATTTTGGCAGGTATCTATTTCTAATAAACAGAGATGTGACAAGTCAATTTAGATACAATTAATCATTTTGACAAATTATACCGAAACTAAATCCGCCTACCCTTGAAAAGCTGAAAATTGTTCGATAAAGTACAAGACCTGTAAGAGTTATATAGTTTTAGAGTTAAGAGTTAGGTAAATTTATAAGGCTTAAAGTTCCCCACCGTATGAATGTAAGGTCAAAATCAAGTTACAAGTTACTCTTCGACAGCCCGCAGTTGTAAAAAAATGTAGATCTGTCCCTTAATATGGCATACTCTGTGGGACTATTGCATTCGAGTTGGTGTTGTCGTTTTGACCTAAAGAAAGAGGTGTCAATACCCTGACTATAAGTCCACAACGGTAGAAATAGTTGTGATGCATCGAACTTGGAAGTAGATTATAAGGCACCTGTACAAAAGAGGAACAAAAGGTTTTCAACTAACAAGTGGCTCCAAAAAGTCAGTTTCTTCAAGATTTATTTAATTGTTTATGAATGAACTATGACTTACAACAAACTTTCGTTTTTTCACCTTTTATCAAAAACCGATTGTTCCGTGGTCCGATTGATCAAATAAATTCTTTCAATTAATTAATCTTTAAGTAAGGTATTGGTTGAGAAAAAAAATCAGTGTCACGAGCGGGATTCGAACCCACGACCTTCGGTTAAATACGCCGCTGCTCTACCACTTGAGCTATCGTGACTTCGACCCACTCGGACGCCAACTTCCCATCTCAACCCCACCTTTTGAATTTTCCCTCCTTTTTGTTGAAATCGTGAGGAGCGGTCAAGAATGCTTATTTAGAAAAACCTTTCTTCATTTTTTTGCCGACGTTTCGACCTTTAATCGGGTTATCTTCAGGGCCTGGGTAAATTGCAAACCTAATTGAGGGCCTGAAGATGACTTGATTAAAGGTCGAAATATAGACAAAAAAATGAAAAAGGTGTTTTCTAAATTACGTCATTTTCGACCGCTGCTCATGACTTTAACAAATTATGAAACAACAGGTCACTAAGAAACACACGTTAATATTAATTAATCTTTATACAAGGTATCGGTTGAGATAAGAAAGCCAGTGTCAAGAGCGGGATTCGAACCCACGACCTTCGGATGGATACGCAGCTACTCTATCACTTGAGCTATTGTGACTTTGATCCACTCGGACACCAATTTCCCACCTCAACCCCACCTTTTGAATTTTCCCTCCTTTTTGTTGAAATCGTGAGGAGCGGTCAAGAATGCTAATTTAGAAAAACCTTTCTTCATTTTTTTGCCGACGTTTCGACCTTTAATCGGGTTATCTTCAGGGCCTGGGTAAATTGCAAACCTAATTGAGGGCCTGAAGATGACTTGATTAAAGGTCGAAATATAGACAAAAAAATGAAAAAGGTGTTTTCTAAATTACGTCATTTTCGACCGCTGCTCATGACTTTAACAAATTATGAAACAACAGGTCACTAAGAAACACACGTTAATATTAATTAATCTTTATACAAGGTATCGGTTGAGATAAGAAAGCCAGTGTCACGAGCGGGATTCGAACCCACGACCTTCGGATTGATACGCAGCTACTCTATCACTTGAGCTATTGTGACTTTGATCCACTCAGACACCAACTTCCCACCTCAACCCCACCTTTTGAATTTTCCCTCCTTTTTGTTGAAATCATGAGGAGCCGTCAAGAATGACGTAGTTTAGAAAACCTATCTTCATTTTTTTGCCGATGTTTCGACCTTTAATCGGGTTATCTTCAGGGCCTGAGTAAATTGCAGACTTAATTTAGACCCTGAAGATGACTTGATTAAAGACCGAAATATATACAAAAAAATGAAAAAGGTGTTTTCTAAATTACGTCATTCTCTACCGCTGCTCATGACTTCAACAAATTATAAAACAGCAGGTCACTAAGAAACACACGTTAATATTAATTAATCTTTATATAAGGTATCGGTTGAGATAAGAAAGCCAGCGGGATTCGAACCCACTACCTTCGGTTAAATGCGCCGCTGCTCTATCACTTGAGCTATTGTGACTTTGATCCACTCGGACACCACCTCTCCATCTCAACCAATCCTTCGAATTTTCCTTCCTTTTTGCCATTTTTCAAATGTTGTGTAATCTATTCGATTCTCGGCAAATTTACGCATTTTACTCTATTTATGTGCTAAAGTTCCAACAGTTCCATACCAGGCTTTCAATCCTAACACTCCTACTAACAATTTTCCATTCTAAAGACCGTCACGTCGTATACGGATGAATGTATACCAAAATATTATTGAGATAGCAACACTAACTCATCAAATTTACTTCACCTGTCATTTCTCTGGCCTCAACATTCCTTTTGTCGACAAGCTGATCCGATCCCGTTTCCAAAGGCTCCCTTTGATCCACCCTAACTAACCGCACGGCCCAAGCTTTACCTACACTTTCCGATCACAAGTACCCTTAAAAAGGAGATGCTTTCGAGACCTCATCGCCCCGTAAAACTTCATATTGAGTTTCACCATTGCCTCGTTTCTCTTAGCTTGTCGGCCTGGTGCAGTGCAGGCCATATTGTCAGTGTCGTGGTCATACATATTTGAAATATATGTTTTGATACGTAAAGGAAATAAATAATTTGTTTTAAAAACGTTAAGAAAAGTTTGATAAGAAATTCACGGCCGCTGGATTCGAACCCGGGACCTTCATCGTACAGTGATAAGCGCTGTGTCAACGCCTAAACCGTTGCGGCCGCCTACGCCCCTAATTTCGTGTCTAAAAGGGTCTTCTTGGAGCTATTTGATGAAATTCAATTTTATCCTCCTTTAACAATTTTTTATTTTCCTTTTCTCCGTCCAACTTGTTTCTTCATTTCTTATTTTATTACAAAATTCTGTCTGTTTTTTGAAACTTTTGCTGATACGACATAGCAGTTAGCAAACCCTGAATTGTGTTAGTGTTGAGGGCTCTATTAGTTTCGAGACAGCACACCTGCGTCATAAAACTTCTCCACTTTAACACATGGAACATCGCGCGTATTACCATCCTAATTATCTGTTAATAAGAACCTTATTATAAATCGTTTAACGAAAGTTAATTTTATCTTGCTTTGATCATTTTTCCTAGTTTTCCTTTCTCAATCTGATTTGTTCTTTCTTTGTGATTCCCTTGTAGACACGGACGGAACAATGCAGACCTCATCTTTCTTTCTTTGAACAAGAGGAAAATTAGCTGAAACAGGTCGATATATTTTCAACATGCTACAAGTCAAAACGAAAGTTTTAAGTTAATTTTCTTTCTGACATAAAACTTCTAAACGAATTGTATAAGTAGAGTGAAATATATAGTCAAAATTGTCCCTGCTACATTTTAGCACAGATTGCAATGAAAAAAAAAAAGAAAAGTGGTTCAAGTGAGTAAGTGCTTTAGCAGATAGGGCATAAATGATAGTGAATAAATACTTGGAGGGGAAAAAAACGAATGGAAGAAAGTTAATATGTTCTAATTTGCGTTTAGACGGCGTAAGCCAGATGTTGGACTCCCTGCTAAAACTGGATCGGTGCCAGGGGAAAAGAGGATTTGTCCTGAAGCAGCCGGGTAAAAAATTGGCCGAAGGGGGAAAATTGCTACGGCAAGGAGAGCAACAAAGGACAACAGGCGTGCGAAGCATTACCACACGGACCCAGTTACAACTAGGTCAAACGCTAAGCAGAATATATCCGCTGAAGTCCAATTTTACTTTTGCTCTAATACAATACAGCAAAAATGATGGAAATTAAAAAATTAATAATTATAAAAAGCCGTATAAATTTGTAAAAACCTGAACTCGCCCCAGATCATTTTCTCGGTAACGAAGTGGAATATTTCGAAATTTTGGAAAATTCATATTATTTAAACGTTCTATTTAACATGCAATTTAAAAACGGTTATACTTTGTGTAGAATTTCAAGAAATCAGGGATAAGAAACCCAAACTTAAAAAATTTAAATTTAAACCACCTGCCAGTAAATGTTTTTGTTGTTCTAAATGGAATCGGACCGATAAAGAAAAAAGCGATATTAGTTTTTAATGGAATTATTGATTAATGGATATTATTACACTTTTGAATTATTATTAATCGTCTATGCTTTTTATGATTCCAAGTTAAAAATATTAATGCTCTTGAGGTCTGCAGGTTGATTGATGAACCTTGGAACTAGGACGCTTCCGAAGATCCCGGTCCGCCTAGTCTCGCCGACTGAAAACGTAAACACAACATTAATAAAGTTGTTGTTTACCTTTATAGAGTGTAAATCATTTTACTTACTGTTTAGATTAAAAATAAATAAAATCAGCTAAATTCATCCTTTCCAGAGCGAATTTGTCGAGTGAGTTAATTAGTTTATTTAAATTGTTCTTTCTGCTAAAAGAATAAATTTGAGTAAAAATTAATTATTAATCTTTCCTTAAAAATATGTGGTGTTTAGTGACCGTTAGTTAATGATTATTCGGAGATCGAGATATGCGGTCTGGTGTGACGCAGGTTTTAGAAAAAACATGTTCTTTATCGTACCAACGTTTCGATCTTTACTGAGATCATCTTCAGGCTCAAAGCTTTTTTTTCCATGTAGATGTGTCATTCTTGTCTGTCACTCTCGACACGACAGACAAGAATGACACATCTACATGGAAAACAAACACTTTGAGCCCTGAAGATGATCTTAATAAAGATCGAAACGTTGGCACGATAAAGAAAATGTTTTTCTAAAACCTACGTCACACCAGATCGCATCTCACCATCTCCGAATAATCATTTTCTTAAAAAGATGGTTTTAATATCGCCCGGGCAGATGCTTTATATATAACTTTATTTATAGCCCAGTCGTGGGTGTGCCGCGCTCTGCCACCTATAACGGTCTTACTGCGGTTTAGGGACACCGCAAGTCTCGATCGACGAGAAGGCAGTAGTACACCGCAAAAACTCCGAAGGTTAGAGAGGATCATTTTATTGCTCTTTGCTATAGGTAGTCAATTCTAAACTGTCCGTCATGCAAAGGTAAAGCCCTAAAACAGTCGTCAGAAGGCGTCGTGACTCGTGTCTAGACCTGCGAATCAGGTTCTCTACTACTAGAGATGTATTCGCAAATCAGAATCTCGTTAGGACATCTTAACAATGGGGGGGGGCTTTCCTGTTCACAGATTAGTGCTGGTTTTATGCCAATCGGATGACCGGGACGCGGAGCACGCTTTACTTAATGTGCCATGTGTCTCAGCCTTTTCAAAGACAGTTATGGTATGGAATTAACGCCCATGCCTTAGTACCGAATTGATTATCATATAGAATGGATCTTTGACCGCACTAAGGTACATTGAGGATGTTCTTCTGGAAGTTGGGGTCCCATTCGCTCCATTTATTCCTGTTAGTGCATGGTAATGCAAGACCGCATATAGTTCGAGTTTTCATCCGTTACTTGAAGAAAATAGAATTGGCCAGCGCCTTTTCCTGACATTAGTCCTATAAAACACTTACGGAACATGACAAAAAGGTTGGCTACGCATCGTTCGCCGCTTCAAAATGCGTTGAACAGCTTCAAACCGAAGAAAAATGGAATGTCGTCTTTCAAACCATCATAATAAATTAATTTTTATTCAAACCCATGAATTTCCGACCTCGTAACTAATATAACGTTGAAAATTCATATAGTTTGAAACAAACAACAAACGACCGGATTTGTTTTTAAGTTCAATTCAGCAAACCAACGACTGAATGTGGCGAAAGGCAGAAACGCATCTGGCTGAGCAAAAAGGTCGGAAACGACCAACCAACAGGGAGGATGGTCAAACACTCGACTTCCAGCTAGCACTTAACTTTATCGATTAAATCTGGTCCCCTAGAAACACCTGAACCGTTTTTACCCCCATTGTAATAAAACGGAGGTGTTTTTATTCACCTTTAAAAGCAAAATGGATGAGCATAGTTTAACCCCTAAACCGTTCACTATATGTTATAAGTATTTAGAAGTAGCCTGAAAAGCTAATATACTAAAACATAATTATTCGACAATACTACCTTTTTTATGTAATTAACTATAATAATAAACTACTTTTCAATTTATTAGAAAATGGCCACTAGGAAGGTAGTGCCGAGTAGCAGCGTAGTATTTTTTCATACTCTTTTAAAATTAGGCTCTGGTTTACTTACAAAAAAGTTTTAATTATTTGTAATGGAAGTGTTCATAAAAAAATCATAAAGGATGAAATACGTTATGGTAGCCATTGCACATACAGGAAATCCTTAAATCGGGATTTTCTTAGGGATTTCCTCCAGCGAACCTTCGTTCACAAAGAGGATTTCCTCAAGGAAATCAAGGCCTAGTTTTTAGTTGACTTGTGGTGGTTGTTGGTTGATCTCGTGGTTTTGGCATCAAGGCGGAAAAAGAATTGATTTTTTTCGGGATTACCCTCCCACCGCGGCCTGAAGGACACATTGAGGAATTCCTCAAGGCTTGGACTGTCCAGGCCGAACAAAGGTACCGTCAGATTTAGATTGAGAATAGAACTATCAAAGCTGTCGTCAAATGATTTTCGCAAAGGTAATGTTTTAATGTGATAATCTAGTATTGGAAAACCTATGAATAACCTTCCTAAACACGTTAACACGTGTAGGAGATGAAAATTTTCAACGGTCACGTATGTAACTGAAGTAGTAAAGCACTAACACATTTAACACGACACAACGGTCGCGTGAGCACCCTGGGGAATATCTGTAAAACTTTTAACTCCCTTGCATTGTTACTCGATTCTACGTCTTAATTGATCTATTTTGACATTTGTATGAATGGAATAGTTATAACCGAAAGAGAAATGGAAAAGGCGGGACTTTTTGAACTTCTATTCTCGACGAATACTCACATAAATGAGACCGTCATCGTTAGCAATTGATCAATCGTGCTAGACCTACGTGACGGGTTGACAGGACAATCTTTTGTGCAATTGTGCCATCACGACAAGACTGAAATGGACTAAAATAAAAATTGGCGGTCTTTTTATTCATAGAAACATTATCAAGTTTCAAAACTATTGCAAAACAATTATAAGCAAATACAAATTAAATTTTTCTCTAAAGGCTGTTCTTTAGTCATTAATACTCAGGACGCCCGAATTATTTCAAAGACTAAGATTAATAAAGTCGCATTTTAACTCTTTTATGATTATAGTATGAGACTTCACCAGAACACATAACTACAGATTTAAGTGTTATTAGGGCTCCTCAGACTACATTAAACTTTAGGCCGTGTGAGAAAGGCGATAAACTGTTCCCATAGCTCCAGTTTGCCTTTATAGAACAGCTAATATTCAATTCATGTATGCAGTAGAAGCAGCACGGAGTTATGGGTACGACCCTAGACTCACAAGTTACAGAAGAATGTCATGCCTTTGAAATATAGAAGGCATTTTGGCCGTTGAGTGACATTCTCATGTCCCAACGTTGTACTTTCGAACTCCTTCTTCTGGTTCTTGCAGAAGTGAACGTTTTCATATCGTTTAGCCGTAAAACCAGCAGGATCAAGTTGTTGCTCCTGTTATTCACCATTTTCAGATACTGAAGTAACTAATGCCCAGTTGACCAAAGGAACATATCACACCTCGTCTGCATTACTACTAAAATATAAAGACATCAAATAGTGGAAAGCCAAAGTAGGAACGACAAGCGACCCATCAGCCTCATTCCAATATTTTAGAACTTCTGCCTCAATTATTGGAGAGGTTTAACTTTACATTATTCAACACCAATTTATCTTCCGGATCAAATTCAAGGGGCATCAAGGATCCTAGTCAATTTTAGTCAAATTTAAGGATATCGTTTTGAATTTTTATGATAATTATTACACTCATATCTGCACTACCGAACCTGTCTTATTAACCAGTATCCGTCGGCCTTAAATCCAATAGTTTCAGAAGCTGTTGTCCCAGTACTCTATTTCTCACAACTTTCCAACAGGTAAGGCAGAAACCCAACGTACTACAAATGTTAACTGTTGACATATCAAACGCAAAATGTCTAAACCGACAAGCTACTGGTCTATCCTATCAGAGATTCGGCTTCTTCATCTAAATTTTGCTAAATGGAATGTGACACAGGTTATTGACTTACTGCTTAATGATTACAAAAATTTAATCAAATATGCTCGCCACGCCTGGCGCTATCGCCAAGAGTTAATATTAGAATTTAATTTTTGAATATTTTAAAGCCTTGTCTTTCTAAATTGCTGGCCCAAATAATTTATATATCTATACTTATTGTAAAATAAAGAAAGAACAAAAATTATTGTTTATAATGTATGTTAGTAATTAATGTAATTATTAAAAATTAAATTATCAATTGTAATATTTATTTAAGGATCGTTTTTTTTTCTTTTTTTCTTTTGTACTTTTTTCTCTGTGTCGACCAAAAATTTAAGTCAAATGAAAATCGACCTCCGGCAGACGGACCCTCCATGCCGTAATTTTACTTTAAATTATATGTGTGGCGATTAGTGGCCGTTAATCGATATTTATTTAGAAATCGTGAGATGCGGTCTGGTGTGATGTAGGTTTCAGAAAAACATTTTCTTTATCGTGCCAACGTTTCAAAATTTATAGAGATCATCTTCAGGGCTCAAAGTGTGCGCCCTTACGAGAGTGCCCTTAGGACACGACACGCAAGAATGGCACAATTACACAGAAGACAAACACTTTGAGCCCTGAAGATGATCTCAATAAAGATCGAAACGTTGGCACGATAAAGAAAATGTTTTTCTGAAACCTACATCACACCAGACTGCATCTCACGATTTCTAAATAAATATTTAAATTATATATTATCTAATGTTTATAACTTTTCTTTTTTGCAATAAAGTATTATTATTATTATTATTATTTATTATTACTGGTCTATCAGCCACCTTCCATTGTTTCCTAAGATTTTGGATTACACCCTTACTATTAACGAGGTTTTACTGAATACTACCTCTGAACACAATTCGGCTTCACTTGCGTGCACCAGCTGCAGGGTCCTTGACACTTCGAAAATAAAATGATCGTGAATGTTCATCGAGACTCCTTGTCAAACTAAAGGCTCTCCTTTCAAATTCCTTCTTTAGATTATTTATTACATTCATGTCTGCACCAGCGAACCTTTACCATTGTGATGATCGTTCGGAAGAAAGAAATCTGCACTGTGGAAGAGAGGGGACGATCATCGCAAACACATTGGAAAAAGAGTAGATAAGCGGAATCCGGAAAGGAGTATGCTGGCAGAAAGACGTCCTTAATTTTAAAGTTTTGTGCTATAGTGAAAGATTTAAGGTACTTATATCTTTGCAATTCATTTCGGTTAATTTTGTATTTTGTTTAAAGTTTTATCTCTGAACATTGCCTAGAAAAAGATTACCGTTGTGCTAGAAAAAGAATTTCTCCAACATTGTTAATTTTCCGTTTGTTTCATGCCAAGAAGAGGCCTTTTTTTTAAATATATTATTTAGCTTATGTTATATTTAGTTTTTTTTATTGTATAAGATTCCCCATCACACATCAAAAATGGTTTCCAGCGTCAAAGTATGCTGTCGTCCCACTAGTAGACAGTGCATTAGCTACCCTATAAAATATGTCCAAACGCTAACTGATGATCTATCAAATTGCAGAACATTGGCAATGGTGCAATTTATTAGTAATCTAAGCACCCACGTCTAAGTAAAAAGATGAAACACCATCTGGAAATAAAGTCGTTAAAGTCAGATACCACAAGTTCTACTCTTTGCTAACCACAAATCACCTCTTTCTTTGAGAATAAAAAGACTGATCTACCTCACTGTCATCTGTCCAATATGGTTGTACGTATATTAGATATGCTCGACCTCCAGTCCCCACATAAAAGGAGAATAAACTTACCGAAATAAGACACTAAGAGTAACTAGGGCATCTCTCTCACAAAATCCCCTACCGCTGATAGGTCAAAGATTTCCAAAACGAGAAACCAACTGACATAAGCAGGATCTATCGCTGGGCTTTTACATGCTAAACTTTTGAGGGTTGGTTAATTATTAAATAAAGAAGGACAGTTAATTAAAAATGAAAACTCAAAACAACAACAAAAATACAAACGGTAACTCAAATTCCTAAGGATTCAGATCCAAATTGATTCAGAAAACTGACTTGCTGAAAATAGCAGTCGAACTGAGATAAGTACGAAATACAAAGGGCTACATCTATCTGGACACGGCATGAAGTCACTGATGACATTATCGAGAAATCCGACCGGCGTCTCCACGGCAATGCACGCACCACCTTGGCTAAAATGAAAACACGATAAATTTCAAAAGCTTTTATCCGCTTGTCTATATGAGCACGCAAATAAACATATTTTTTTCATTCAATTTCCATTCATAAATTTAATTATTTTCATGTTATTTATTAAATATGGCATGCAATGAGCGAGGGAGATGGAAATGGGTTAGTAGAAATCATATTTTATTCAATGATATATATCTCTCAATCGGGGAAACATTTTTTGGGGCAAATCAGGTACGTAAATTAACGAAATAGAATTCTCCACGGTCACATCTATCGGCTCTTACCACGACGGTGAATTTTCGCAGTCACGATCGCTTATAGGAAAGGCGTATCCCAGACCTCCGGTCTTATCGATTCAGGCGAAAAGTTTGCAGGAATTTCAGCCAAATCGCGTTAATATTTCAGAACCCGCTTTCTTCAATTCTACATGAACGTCTGCTTTCGGAAGAGCGGGACTGCCGATGTTTCGGACCATCACCATCAAATTACCGACCTAGCTAGTCAGACACGGAGGTGGTACTGCAACATTGAACAAAGAGAAAATTTATAACTCCTACCTAGGAATTGAAGCAAAAATCAAATACGTCAGATTATTCCTTAATTAAATATTAATTTATTATGGATTAAACTTATTATTAATTTTCAGAAAATACCAAAAATGAGTTGTCACACTCGTGAGCAAACAGTAATCTCCTGCGAGGGAATATTAATACAGGAAAATTAAACTCAGTCCATGTTCGACTAGCAGTGTGCATATAGAAGGAAACAAAATTAATTAGAATTCCTCTTTCTTTGTATACACAATGGATATTCTACTTCAGAAACATACTCAGCATGAGAGGGAAGTAAACCAACTTAGGGCGAAGGACAAATGTTAGTTTAAACTAGTCTCCCTCCGAAAACATTTACCTGACCCGTGCGGGCGAGACTGAGAAATGAAAGTTACTTCCAGCTGGAACAACACTGGATCCTGCTTCACCGAGTCGTGGCCCATGCACCATAATAACTAAGAATTGTTTTATATTTTAACTGTAATAATCCTCGCTGTGGGATGTTTTTCCTCTTCGTACGTTTATATTTTAATTTTCAACTTACCCCACAGACTAATGGTAGTAATAATGAAAAGGATACATTCTAAGGGATCCGTTTTTAGACCCGATCGCCAGGAGCCGCTGGATCGGATCGAAGGCCACGGCAGTTGGTTGGTTGGGAAAACCATGGCGAAAAGTCTGAAAATAAAAAAGAATATTATTAGGAGAAATCAGTTTATGTAAGGTATTTTTTTTTTCAAAATCCACAAAATACGCTATTAAAGTACAATTATAAAAATAAATTATTTGGAGATTGTGAGATGCGGTCTGGTGTGACGTAGGTTTTGGAAAAACATATTCTTTATCATGCCAACGTTTCGAACTTTATTGAGATCATCTTCAGGGTCTGGGATTTATAAACACTGTTTAAATTTACAAATACATATAGGATGTAGAAAAAAAAGGAAAAATGAATGTATACAATGCTAGAAATTTTAAATTCAATCAAAGTATTGAATTAATTATTGGCTAAACACACATAAAAAAATAAAAATATTCAAAGTTTACCAGGCTCATTGGAAAAATCCCTGTATCGAACATAATGAAAATAAAATGATTCTATTTGTCCTGAGACTTCATAAGGTCAGAGGATTAATAACTCATTTAAAAAAAGAGGAAAAGGTTTATTTATTTTTAAAGAAGGAGCAAAGTTTATTAAACAATTTGTTTAATATTTTTGTTTTATTTAATTTTTTATTTTATTTTATTTATTTTATTAATTTATTTTTATTTTTTGTAAGAAGTAGCTAACTTTATTAATCAATTTCTTTAATATATTTTTTTTCTTGTATGAAGTAGCAAAAAAAATTTTTTTGTTTATATTTAGAAGAATACCACACTTTTCACTTGGACGGTTTGCTGTAATTGAAAGGGATAAAAAAATTTAACCTTACCAACTGAGAATTTATCGAACAGTGAAAAGAAAGCATATAAACTTATAATTCCAAAATTTTTGATAAAGCCAAAACCAAAAGAGAAAATGATGAATTTTGAAAAACCACACAATGTAGAAATTGAAATAACATATACAAAAAGAGAGTGCACAATGGAAAGATAAAACAAGAAAGGAAAAACCTGCAGCTCTTCTATGATATAAAGGCTCAAAGGGAATGGTACAGGAAGGAATGGGCGCAAAAGAGCCCTAAATTATTTCAGGCTTGAAAAAAATCAGCAGACGGTATTTTTTATGTTGCAAATTTAATATTTTAAACAAGTGAGATAATTAGAGACCGGATTTTTATGCAGTTGTGTATTTTCTTTGCGACCACATACGACCGAGGAAATCAATTATCTATCCGAATCATGTATCTAGGAAGCTGTAGGTTAAATTTTATACAGTATATTTTTGCATATTTGATGAATATCGCATAAAATTGCATATTTGAAGGAATTTTACTTAAAATCGCATCTATCGCGCAAAATATTTAAAATATTATATCGGTTTTCGTTGGAAGCATGAAACAAAAATTGTAAAAAAATAACAAGTTGACGAAAAGTTGGTTTAATTAAAAGAAAACTGAAACAGGCCGCAACGTCGGTAAGAGAAAATTCTAGAAATACCGATAAAATGATGTAAAACCCCTTCTTAGGTTTTATTTCAATGTTCAATATTCTCAGAAATTTTAAGTGAACATAGGCACTATTTCACGGATGACAATTTAGAGAAGTATTTGTTTATTAACATTAATTATAATCAATTAGTTAAATTTAATTATGTAAGTGAAAAAGTTTTTTGGTAAATGAAAATAAGTGTCCGCGGTTTAGGTTTAGGCGTTGACACGGCGCTCTTCACTGTAAAGGTCCCGGGTTCGAATCCAGCGACCCTGTCGAGCAGGGCCGCTCGATTCTAACCCGACATATTTACAAAGGGACTTTTTTCAAAAACACCGGCCAAGGGTTCAAATAACCTATAATGTAATTAACAAATATATAATAAAAAATCTTTTAACGTAATAATACTGCATATTTCAGTGCTTTCAATTGCATATTTTGGCAATTTTTACTGCATAAAAATCCGGTCTCTGGGGATAATAACAAGTTTGTTATTGGTGGTCAATTGGATATTACAAAATCTTCTGACTCAGTTGATCACTCTCTTTTAATCCAAAAACTTTCAGAAATTGGAATCACCGGTACCTCTCTTAAAATCTTTGAATTTTATGTTAAAAACAAAACTCAATTTACAAAAGTTGTAAGTTTTTTAAGTTTACAAGTTACAAGTAAGTTGTAAGTTTACAAGTTACAAAACTCGAGTTACAATACATACACTTTCCGAGGTACCTCAGGGTACGTACTCGGCCCTATTTTCTTCTTAATATAAATCAATATTTTAAAACTTAAGATAAAGGGTCAGCTTTTAATTATATAGATAGGCGTTGAAATGTTAACATGTGTGACGTATATTGAAAAAAATGGGCAAGAATGCTTCCCTGCGGAACACCAGCCCTAACGCGTATGTTTGTTGGACAACAAACATAAATACATGTCATAATGATCGACTAGTAATCACTGTACTGTCTACTCTCTCACGGGCTTAGATGTTCCTCATATCCATGAGAGAATGGACAACTCATCAGAGTGATCAAACGCTGATGAATTTACTATTTTTAAAGATTGTCCATGACAAAGTAAACGGAGAGGAAGAAATCTCTTTGAGAAGGGAAAGATAAAAAAGGTGGTTAAAGCAGGTTTCTATATCGTTTTATAATATTTATTATTATTATTTTTTTAAATGAGAATGGGTGGTCTCCAGCCTCCTTCTCAATAATATTTAGTTGAGCATCAACAGAGTAGTATGTAATAATATAACCCTACCAAGCAAAATAGACATCCAACAAAAAACAAAACAAGCAGAAAATCAAGAATTCTTTAACCGGCGACCAAAAAAAAACAAAAACAAAAAAAAAGAACTAGAATTTCGGGTTACTAGTGGGACAAAGAGGAAAAACATGCATGTTTTTGGGATAATCACCAATGAAAAACCACTTAACAGAAAACAATTATTAATAGATGACCAATGGCGACTATGTCTAAATTAGAGAGAGACAGCGTTACAATAGAGCTGGCAATAGGTTCCTAAAAAGTTATTTTATTCCTGAGAAGAATTCTGTGTTTTATTAACGAAACGAAAATCTCCAAGAAAATAATGAGCAGAGATCGGGCAAAATATGCGATAGTTTAAGTGCAAAAAGGGGTCCATAAAATTCACAAAGGAAAAAACAAAAATATTTATAACTGATCATATTTCGACTTCTAATAGACTATTTATATTGGGGTAATTTAACAGAAATAGTTTGCACGAGTACTGTAACAACCTAAATTATTGTTAATTATTATTACAAAATGAGAAATTGCAACTTTTATATAACAGCAAATAAATATACCAAGTTTATAATTATAAGTCTTTCATTTACAACTTAAGTACATAATAGAACTAAACCAATAAAAACTTACTCAACTGGATAAGCAACTTACACAAACACCATTTTCTTTTATTGTATGCTTAATTCTGATGGGAGACGTGCATTCCCTAATTATCGCCCTTTAATATACTGTCATATTGGCAAAGTTAAACCGTAATCGCTGTATAATCCATAAATCTTCCTCGATAAAATTATAACACAAGGGGCAAATGGGATTTGGCTCTACCTTGCAGGAATTGTAGGACAGATTAAACCTTTCGGCTCTTGCTCTAATAATCGGCTTACAGACAGGAAACAACTTTCGAGGTTAGTTCATTCAACTTCAGCTCTAACCGCTAAATCTGATACGATGGTGTTGAAATTTTTTACCTGGTGACGGAGCATTTCATTTCAAGGCAAATATACACCTAATCAAACAATAATCAGTGTAGATGTGATGTAGTAGACCAGATGTTTTTAATTGTCGAAGTGGGTCAGGGATGTAGTCCAACTGGGCATAGGTCGTCTGCTTACTACTTCGCCGATCTAGTTCCTTTAATTCGATTGTAAAACTATTTAATACTTAAGAACGGATCTGCTTGGGTCGATTTTCCATGCAAAACAATTTTTTGTGTGTGAGATTTCACCTTGTAGTCTGCGTGGTGAGAAACCTGTGATTTGATCGTTCCAGATCATTTTGCTCTGTCTATCCTCGCTAGCTTGATGTGTTCGTTACCCACACTGAAAATAGCAAAAAGCCGATACGAATCTGAAAGACCTATTCAGCGAGGTGCAGACCAAGATTATCAGAACGACCTTATGTAACCTTAAAGAAGGAAATTGTGTGATAATTCCGATAAAGAAAATCTGTAAATCTATTTATTTATCGTGTAAATATCTAAGCACTTACTAAAAACCAAGAATTGTTACATAATTAGATTGTTGGATGCCTTATGTTATTCGTTAATAGTTTAATAATCGCCATCATATGTTAAAATGGTGCAATTATCTATTTTTAAACTAATAATAATAGTAAAGGAGTAAATTTATTGAATTTATACATTTTCGTTTTTACATTTAAATTTACAAAACACATTGGGCATTAGTCTGTCTGCCAGGTCTATTTTTAAACTAATATAATAATAATAATAATATAATACCTTGCCGGCGGTTGAGGGTTTTAAATTGCTAGATATCCCACCGTGAGCATTACCTACTGCCTCAATTATCGAAGATCTGGCCTTGTTGAACAAAAGAGAAACACCGTCTCTGATGATCAAGGCAGAATTCTTGCGAATTTTAAATAACTATCCCAATTATAAAGTTTTTTATACCGATGGGTCTAAAAATGAAATTGGTGTAGGGTGTGGGATATTTGCTGATGAGTATAACTTCAGCTGGTCTCTAACGAATGAGGCTAGCGTTTACACAGNTAATTTTATTAAATTTTATGCAATTTAAAATGGGAATTTTGTATACATTTGGCCTTCCGAATTAAGAATTTTAAAAGAAAATTAAAGCTTTGGATGGCAATAGGATAAATTAGATAACGAGTGAATGTTTGGAGTCAGAGCTTTATAGCACTCAGAAGAGATATAGCTAACCTAAGATAGAAGGTTTGGATGTTAGGGCGTGAAATGACCTTAGCCGTTAAAACGCCCTTAAAAATTAATAATAATAATAATAATAACAATAAAGAAGTAAATTTATTGAACTTTATACATTTTCGTTGTTACA